ATTCCTCCTCATATCCTACATTGCTGGCTTGATAAGATCAGCAAAGCTCCATGTAAGTTATAATAACCTGGCAAGCCTGAGTTTGGGTTATAGTATCAATCCCATCTGCCCAGTTGCTTGCTAAAAATCAATTATGAGAGTTCCTTTGTGTGTATATTTGGTGATCAGGTTGGCACAGATATCTTGCCAAGTTAGGCTAAAAGTCGTAGTGTGTCCTTGAAATTCTCTAATGAAGGTGGAGGGGTCTTGACTAAATGACCCTAGTTTGGATTGTATTTGGGAGCAGGTCAGATATTGAAAAGAGATACATGTATCATTTTTGTGTGCCAAAGTCCCTCTTAAACACCTTTCAAAGAAGAAAGATATTTTTCACATGGAGAGGGCACAGCTTTTAACTCTTCAGTGAGGTCCTTCTATAAAATTTCTAAGTTTGTGTATGTTAGAGTGCATCTGGAGAAGGAGGGGAGAAACTGCAGTGAAGGAGGAAGGGAGGTGGAGAAATAAGAGGAAGGGAAGCCAGAGAAGGGAGGAAAACAGAGTCATTAAGGAGATGGGTGGCTAGCAGTGGAGAAGCAGGGGCTTGTTTAAGCATGCATGATGGGTCATTAAGGCTATCCCTGAAGCTGAGCTTAGGGGACAAAGACTAGTGTAAGAGATTCTGATAAGGCACATACACCATACTGAATAGATGAGGACTCAGAGAAAGAGCCATAGAAGGCCTGGATACAAGAAGTCTCAGAATACTTTCCTAAATTATAAAAAGAGGTCAAATTGCAATAAAATTGTATTGTGTTCACAGAATAATTATTTTAACATATGAAAAGAAGCTCACATAAAATTTTTTTTGAGAAGATACACTTTAACTAAGTCAAATGAAGAGAATGGAGCTTATTCTCAAGACATAAAGATCATATGTGGTAAAGCAATACATCATATTGTGCTACCTGCAGCAATATGTTATGTAATGTTATGTAACTTAGATTGTGAAGCAATCTAAGTCAGATGTGCACAATAGCATAATAAAACAAAGCAAAAATCAAAATAATTCATTGTGGGAAAAAGACCTTTAAGTAATTCTCATAGTAGTGTTTAGAATTTCAAATATTTAAAATCCTTTACAAAACTGGTGAGAAATTAGCAATGAATGCATAATGAAAATATATACTATGATATTCTATACAGCTGTAAATACAATGAAATCTTGAGCTTTGCAAGTAATTAAAAAGAATAGATTATATTGAACGTGGTAACCCAGATCCACAAAGACAAAATTCACAGGTTCTCTTTCAGTGAAGGCTCCTAGCTTCAAAACTTCAGATGTGTGTACAAATCCTGGATTAACTGCAGAAATCAGAAATCATTTCTTGGGTGGGGTTGGAGGAGCTATAGAGAGGAGAATAGCAGGGCACAGTGATCTGATTGTGGAAATAAGAAAGTGGGCTCTTTGGAAAGGGAGAGGGAGGTAAATGCAAAAGAAGGAGGGAAAGAAGTAGAGGGGAACAGCAAGGTTCAATTGTCCTAGTCAGAGAAATGAGATAAATAGGGATTCTAATTAGGGAGAGGAAGGAGATAAATACAGAAAAGGAAAGGAGAAGGATAAAATAACAGTAAGGATGACTAGAAAAAAAACATTAGGAATCATACTATTAACTATTTACCTAAACATACCCATAATCCAACTAAGTCTGTATATGCATATACATCATATACATACATATTTTGTAAATGTAAATTTTCCCATTTAGACTTAGAATGCTTCCTTGAAGAACTATAGATCATCTCACAAAAGCTTAAACACAAGGAATGAACATTCACCTTTTGAACTGTTGGTAAGAGTTGTCCATAAGACTGCTAAAACATTATAGGTTATTGTTTTTGTCCATGTTTGGCTTTGAGAGGGGGAAGGTCTGTCGTTATTGGTGAATACATCATTCACTTAAACACAGGACCCAATGAACAGGAGCTGTATCGGATTTGAAAGTCTCCTTCATGGAGAATAGCTTTCCTGGTACCAAAAGTTGCCATGCAAGCTTCAAAAGGAAAGAAGTAACCAATAGTTCTACCCAGGTATGATGCTGATGAACCATAACAACAAAGAGCATGGCATGGTAACTCTCTTAGGGTTTTCAATGCTGTGACAAGACACCATGACCATGGCAACTCTTACAAAGAAAACATTAATTGTGGTTGCTCACTTACAGTTCAGAGGTTCAGTCAATTATCATCATGGCAAGACATAGTGGTATGAAGGCAGACATGGTACTGGAGAGGTAACTGCTACATATTAATATGCAGAGAACAGGAAGTAGACTGTCTCATTGGGCTTGGCTTGAGCATATATGAGATCTCAAAGACTGTCTCCACAGTGGCACACTTTCTCCAACAAGGACATGCCTCCTAACAGTGTCATTCCCTTTGGGAACCATTTTCTTTCAAACCACCACAGTAACACCAAGGGCATAACAGGCAATAGAAAACTTGATAGCACCCAAAAGCTTTCTATTTGTTCAACAAGAAAGAAATTATTCCTGGTACAGGGAATCTAGACACCTATACATGGCTAGTGAAGTTATTTATCTTAGAGTATAACCTACAGTTGCCACTTTTCTAAATCAGCATAATCGCTAACTACACTCTATATATCAATCCATATATCCACATATAAGTGTAGTCTCACTCCTCATCAAGAAAAGTTCTACTTGCAGCAGACAAACAAACAAACAAAACACTACAGAAAACCACTACCAATCTAAATAAAGAGTTGTGAACCCCTTTCTCAGTGGATAAATCTACAAAACAACTTTTGAACCTAAGGACCAGGTATCATTGTGGGGGGGATGGGGGCAAAAATATTTTAAGAACCAGAAGAACAAGAAGTTTGCTATGAGATTGTGTCTTCTAGAAATGTCAGAGAAGTTATACCCATAAAGTCTCATCAACATGGCTGCTCAAACAAGATCTGAACAAGGACGACACCAATAGATATGCTAAAGGAGAAACATTCATTGACACCAATAGATATGCTAAAGGAGAAACATTCATTAAGCTGCAACCTTAGACAAAGAACTATAGACGGGTAAGGAATTATGAGAGTGGAAGAAATAGTCTTTCCAAGAGAAGAACACACTCATTTGTTATCCAATACCAAATGGTCAACCTAAAAACAAATACATACAAGTAACATCATAAAGACTGAGTAGGTTGTATTTTAATATTTAGAAATATATCGATTTCTAAATATAATTTATATTTTTATGAGTATATACATATATATGTTCAACAACAACTAAAGGAAAAAATGGCCATGAATTTGAGAGGGAGGGTACCTGAGAAGGTTTAGAATGAGAAAAGGGAAGGGGGAAAATGATGTATTTATAATTTCAAAAATTTCAAAATAATAAAACAAATGACTAATTTCCAAAGTAATGATTTATTTACCACCATGAAACCTGAAGAATACTGAGAAATAAAACATTCTCCATTTTTTTCTAGGAATTACATTAACAAGTAACCAAGTAAGAATTCATCTCCATAGAAATATATTGACTATAAAATATATATTTCTATATATTTGTAATGCCACAATTTTATAGTCATTTCCACAATGGACTATAAATGTGAATATAAACCTCAACATTACAAAATGGTTTCAGTTCTAACAGTACATTTTTAGAGTTGGCCAGACATCTTGCATCTTCTGTTGTCTTGCTTAACAGTTTTTCAGTTCCTGACAGAATTCTAAAAACAGATTCTGTATAAACCTGGAACCAAGTTGCTTACTTTCCCAATGTATAAAAAACCAAACCATTGTGTTTAAAGTCACTATGAATGTTAAGCTAGCAAAATCCATCATGTGGAAAATTCTCCAAGTCAAACAACTTGGTCTTTTAGAGATAAATTGCAAGATAAACACATATCATACTGTTGCATTGATCTATATACATAACAAATTAGATTTGTTAGGGTATCAATTTCATACACACTATCACAATATACCCCATGGATGTAGACCAGAGGTTGATGTCAGATGTCTTCTTTCACTTTTCATCTTATTGTTTTATTTTAAAATGTTATTATCATTTCACACACAAAAAACTGTGTGGCTCTGTGTGTGTATATGTGTGTGTCTGCATGTGGGGGGCATGTGTGTGTGTGTGTGTGTGTGAGAGAGAGAGAGAGAGAGAGAGAGAGAGAGAGAGAGAGAGAGAGAGAGAGAGAGAGAGAGAGAGAGAGAATATGCATATCATGGCATAAGTGTGGAAGTTAGAGGACAGCTTTGTGGAGCTGCACAAATTAGATTTGTTAGGATACCAATTTTCTTGCACCTTTATGTGGGACCCTGAGTTCAAACTTGGGTCATTAGCCTTACACCATCCTGTGTCAAGCTTAAGCCATCTCCATCAAGACTCCACCTTATTTTTGTTGCAAGGTCTGTCACTGAACATGAAGCTCACCAGTTGGCTACTCTGAAGACCTGCCTGTCTCTAGGCACTCCCTCTCATAGTGCTGTGATTACAGCTACTCAGCTTTTATGTTGGCTATACAAAGAAATCTTGTTTCAAAAAACAAAAAGGGTGGAGGCTGGGGAGATTGTTCCATTACTGAAGTACCCATTGTGCTAGCATGAGCACCAGAGTTCAGATTCCTAATGTCCACATAAAAGCCAGATGTACCTTGTTCCAACCCTGGTCTTGGGTTATAGAGACTGGTAGATCCCCGGAGTTCATTGGCCTAGCTGAATGCAGAAGATTCAGGTTTAGTGAAAGTCCCTGTCTCAAAAACTAAGGTGGAAACAATAGAGGAAGACACCCAACCTTTATCACTGGACTCCATGCACTCACCCCCACATACATGTGCAGTTACACAGTTAAATACATACTTTCAAATACACACACACACACACACACACACACACACACACACACACACACACAAACACACATCTCTGACTCCTTAATAACACATTGCAAATAATTCATCGTATTATATTTTTTTTCCTCTCATAAAAGTTTACCAACTGTACAAGTTAAGAAAATTATACAAGCTTTTGTATTAAGAAAGGACAGCTCAGTCAAGACATATGTACTGTAAAAATCTTTCAAAGGCTACAAAGAATCTGGAAAAATACAGAATGTATTTCTTAAGCCCAGATAAGAATATGGAAAGACATCATTGATGTCAACAATTTTACAAATACAAACCTGACTTGGTTTATTTTTAAACTTCTACATATAAAAATCATGCTAGCATAACCTTCAGGATTCATGAGGGTTTCCTTAGTTCAGTTTGTAAGGAGAGAAAAATGTCTGTTGTAAAGACATTTCTAGATAATCAAAAAATTGGTACTGAGCAGAAACCCAAACTTGTTCCCCCCCTCCCCGACTATTCTTCCTCTTAAAAATAAGGAAAAATTACCTTTTAGTCAAATTTATGATTAGTATCTCAAATGAGAAGGTATAGGTAAGTCTTTGGGTCATTCAAATTTACCGATGTTTTTGTATCCTTAAAGAGGTCTTCAACAATTTGAAGTAAAAGAACTTGCAAAAGGTGGAACTATGAATCCCATTTCTTAACGTGAGGACTCAATTCAAACACCAAGATTGAACCAACTACTTCAAGGAATCAGCTTTCTAAAGGTCACCCACCAACCCTGAAAATTGTAGTCACACCAGAATTTACTGCAAAGAAAGTAACACAGGCCTAGGACTTAGTCGTTTGTGTTTTCATGTTCCTCAAACTTTCCATGCGAGACTGCCTCCTGGAAGAACTCAGACGAACCCGGACTCTCTTTCCCACTGCTGTTCACCCGTCGCCTTTTGGCAGGCCTCTCATTTTTTTCATCACAATCATTTTCATTTCTTGCAGTCATATGGGCAAGTTTTGGGTCAGTGGTCAGGCTATCTGCTTCATAACCATTAGTGTCCATATCGGTATGAAGTGGTTTCTTATTTCCACCTGTTGGTCCATTAACATGTAAGCCTTCAACTTTTACTTCTTCTTTGTTTAGTATTTCTCCTGGTCCATTAGATGACACACCATTTTGATTGCTATTGCTGATAGTGCCATCTTCTTTCTCCGACTGGCTGTTACTACTATTTGATGCAGTAGGGGGAGGGGATGGTGCTCGGCTTGAAGCAGCACTTTCACTCTCATCCAAAAGACGATCCATGTAATCCGTTACACCAGGATGAAGATTATATTTCTTTTTTCCAAATCTTGTTTGCTGAGCAAAGAAATCATAACGCTCAGACATTTTCCACATGTAATAGAATGCTACACATTCACCAACTGATCTTGTTCGGACTTTATTAGCCTGGATCAGATGAAAATCTTTTCCATAGGCCTTCAGCCCTTGTTCAAAATTTCTACACTCTTCCTCTGTCCACACAGATAATTCCTCTCGAGCTGCTTTGACATTAAATCTCAATCTTCTCAAGGCTTCTTCTGTATCAAAACTGCATTTAACCAATTCATATAAAGCCTGTTCGTTGTCTTTTATGTGAGATCCTTCAGGAATTGCTTCTACACCTTTCTCATCACCTGTTCTTCTAGATGCATCCTTAAGAAATACAATCACTTTATCTTCTGGTAAATACTCTGGGTCCCACAGAAGCTGATCATCATTTTCATATACTTTTTCATTTTCTTTGTATCTACAAACGCCAACTGGAATCTCAGCTTGAAACATGGAGCCCACCATGATTTCCTTTTTCCAGTCTTCTGATGGAATATAATCTTCATCTTCTTCAGATTCTTCTTCTATTTCACTATTTGTATCAAAATATTTACATCAACGTGGGCGAATTATTTCCTGAGCATCTTGGGAAGTAACAGACTGTGATGGATCATCATTGGAAGACTGAGTTTCATCCTCCTGACCCGATGAATCCTTTATATTCTCTTCTTTATTTTCCCCACTACAGCCACTGTTGTCATCATTATCAGCATCTTCATCATCTTCACCTTCCTCCTCCTCGTCCTCATCCTCCTCATCTTCTTCAGGTAACCGAACAGTGCTGTCATAACCATAGAGGCTGAGAAGCTCGTGGATTGGCATGTCGCCTTCCCTTGCAAGATCCTCTATTTCAGAACTGAAGTTTGTCTCTCCTTCCATCATTTCTTCTTCTTCTAATGTTCGCTCATCATCAAAATCATGAACCAGCATGTCAGCTGATGGATCAAACTCATGGTCCTCTGATGTTGCTGAGCCTCCAGCATCACATCCGTCTTGTCTGCATTGAACCTCAACCAGTTGGTTCTTAACCACGTCCGAAACTCAGCCAGGCACTGGGAGAATCGAGCCACCACACCAAAGCCACCGCCGCTGCCGCCTCCTCCGCTGCTGCCGCCGCCGCCTGGAGACGCCCCATCCATCCTCCTGCAGCCGGGAGACTCGCAGCCTGGGAGGGGCCTAGGGCCTGGGACGCCCGCCTCCTCCGAGTCGTCGCCCCTCATCGTATTATATTTTAAAGAATGTTCATCTGCAATTAATTACAAAATTAAAATGCACAGTTCATTATCACATAAAATTTCAGGACTACTTCCTTTCATCATTAACAAAATCTTTATCAGTCATTTAATTTATATGTGTATCTTAAGTTGAATTTAAAATTCAACACCCCAGGTTTTATTTATTTTTATTGCTTCCAATATATTATTATTATTATTATTAACTAAGTTTATTCATTTTTTTTTACAACTGTTTGGGCATATATCAAAAGATGCTCGATCATTCCACAAGGACACTTGCTCAACTATGTTCATAGACGCATTATTCGTAATGGCCAAAATCTGGAAATAACCAAGATGCCCCTCAACTGAAGAATGGATAAAGAAAATGCTTCTAATATCTTTAAAGTTGCTCTATCTTACATTTTTGTTTCTAATATACAAAAACACAATGACAGAGTATACATAGCTAACTAAATTCAACTGAATTTAGTTTAATAAGTTCTTTTAATTTCCAACCATGGGAGACACACTGAGCTAAGTAAAGAAGGGATAAACAGATCAATAATGAAGTGTCCATGACTTTAAGCAGCTTATAGGCTATTGTAGAGAGTAAGAATAATAAAAAAGATTAGTATCACATAACTGAAAATAAAATATATAAGCACTTTGTCACATAGAGAAAATCCTATGTCATTTATTAGAGGATTTTAATACGTTCTATTCTTTGAGAATTTCATATATTTATACAGTGTGTATATGTATATATTCATCTACCACTACCTCCCTCCATGGGCTCCATTCCATCTCCTTCCAAGATTTATCTCCTCTTTTCCTTTTTATTACTAATAACCTATTGAATCTAATTATTGCTGCCATGAATGTGCAGCCATTCGTTGGGATATAAGCAACTTATCAGTGGCCATATCCCCAAAGAAGAGTGATTCTACTCTCTCAGCTTCTTTCAACTGCTCATGTCATAGGGATATGGCCTAAGAATTTCTACCCAATTGTGATGAAATTGTGATTGGTACGAACATACGTAAGTCTTATACAGTAATCACAGTGGCTTTGTGTGAAGCAGCCATAGCATGTACCACAAAAGCTTTTTACAATTCTTTTTTATATCTACTGGACTGTATATCTTGTCTACCCCCTCTTTCACAAAGTTCTCTGAGCCTTGAATGGTGAGAGGTTGATAGAAATGACTCATTCACAGCTAAACACGGAGTTATTTTTACTTGGCCCTTGGACCAGTTATAAGACTCTGCATAGGAACAAAATTTTAAGTAAAATAATCTGAAGGTATTGATGAGAAGGACCATGGAAGGATGAGTAAAACATTTAAAAATAAATTTGCTACATTTACTATATGATACATTATTTAAATGGAGTATAATGTTAATGTATGTGTTACAGTTCTGAGAGAAAAGGCCTGCCTGATGGAAGTGTTACCAGTTCTTCTCTGGGGTGAGGGGAAAGTTTCCCCATTGCAAGTGTTACAGCTCTGTTCTTGTGGGGGAAGGTTCCCCAAAGTGTTACAGCTCCAAGGTCATCCTCAGCTACATAGGAAATTGTAAGCTATCCTGGCCTATAACAGACTATTTCTAGAAAATAAAAAAATATGTTTTCTTTTTTTTCATTATCTGGCTAGTGATGCCCCAAGACTTGGAAAAAGTATCCCATCTGGTGCTTTCTTCTAGTTGTTTCTAGATGGTAAAAAGCTAACTGTGTATGCAAAAATGGAGGATTTAGTATCACCTAGAAGACAAATCTCTGCCCTGCAAGTGAGGACATTTCCAGAGAGATTTCACTGTGTTAAAAGACCCTAATTCTTATTAGTTTCTATTTTTTCCCTTATTTACAGTTTTATATCTAAGCCAAAACTCAGACCTTAATAGTTTGTGTGGAATTGGCATTGTGTTTGTGACATCCTCTCATGTTACTGCATGCAGCTGCACTTAGTTTCCAATGAAGGAAGATACGCCTTTTTATGTCTGCCACTGCTGGTCATTTGCAGCTAAGACAGATATTGCCATAAATATTTTTTGTAGCAGAAATCTTAAAAGTTCTTATTAATAAAATCAATTGTGATGCGCACGCCTTTAATCCCAGCACTCGGGAGGCAGAGGCAGGTGGATCTCTGTGAGTTCGAGGCCAGCCTGGTCTACAGAGCGAGATCCAGGAAAGGCGCAAAGCTACACAGAGAAACCCTGTCTCGAAAAAAAAAAAAAAAAAAACAAATGTGGGAGCCAGATATTGGGGTGAATGCTGGAAGATCAGAGAGACAAAACAGGCTACAGCTAACCTCACCTGGCCAACTTCTCAGCTAATCTTGTTGACTGGAAGCCTCTGTTTCCTCATCTGAATGGCTCTCAGCTGAACTACTGCTCAAAAGCCTAAAAGCTTAACCAGCCTAGTTCCTGGTCCTTATGCCTTACATACCTTTTTGCTTTCTGCCATCACTTCCTGGGATTAAAGGCTCACTTTCTGGGATTAAAGGCATGAGTCACCATGCTTGGCTGTATCCTTGAACACACAGAGAACCAGGTAGATCTCTGCCTCTGGAATGCTAGGATTAAAGGCGTGTGTCAAACCTCTATGTTTAATATTGTGGCTGTTCTGTTCTCTGACCCCAGATAAGTTTATTAGTGTGCACAATATTTCAGGGAACACAATACCACCACATTTCCCCTTCTTGTGTCTAAAATTTAAAAAAAGCTTATAACTAATACAAGAAAAACTATATCCAATAAGTATATACAATATATACATTCAAGAATTACATTAACGATGTCGAGTCCATTAACATTTGACAGGCTCAGACAAAAAAAACTTCATTAATATATAACAATGTCCAGTCCAGTAACATTTGATAAACTCAGACAAAAAAGTCCATTACTTATCCTATTTAAAACAAGTAGTTCCTTTTAAAAGTAGATTCAATAATTGACCTTTTTATCTTATCATATCCATATTCTCTTTTTTCTTTTCATAATAGATTAAATAATCTACCTTTTGTCAATTTTATATCTTCCCCTTTTTCTTTTTAGAGTAGATTCAATGATCTACCCATTTATTCTATTATTTCTTTATCTTTTTTCTCAGAGTAGATTCAATGATCTACCTCATATCTATATCCTCTTTTTTTCTTTTTTAAACAAAAGCTCTGCATCTAATCTCCTTGTTCAGCCTTTTTCCTGACCATTAACAATTAGCAACTTGTAACCAACCATCATAAACAATGACAATATCCATAACTCATTAAACGACCGAAAAACACCCACCCCGCTCTTGGGAATATGAGTGTTGTTTTCTTAAAATTACTTCCTGCTTTCTGAGGTTGAAGATATCTTTAGGGAATCCTGAAAATTTTTGGGTTAATCGTCAAGTCCTGAAAGAGTTGGTTGTATCATTTGTACAGTATCTGCACAATGGGAAAGTGCAGGGCTTGTCTCAAGTCCTTGTTCGAGTAGTCTGTCAGGCTGGATCATCTCAGCTAGCCATCCTGAAATTGTCCTGAGCAGTTCGTAGTCCAAAGCCGAACTTTGAGTGGTATTAATCAGCTTAATGGTGTTATCATAGTCCATGTGGAATTGTCAGTCGCTGTGGGGTCCCATCATCCTTTTGTAGATTTCAAAGTTGCTGTTAGGTGTGGTCATGGTTCCCCACTGATTTTTTTTTTTTGTGTGTGTGTCTGTGTGTGTGTGTGTGTGTGTGTGTGTGTGTGTGTGTGTGTGTGTGTGTGTGTGTGCCTCCTCTGTGGTTTGGAGCAATCACAGTCTGATAAATGTCTGTCTTTTGGAACCATGAACATTCTTCCCTAGAAGAAAAATCTTCACAGCAATTTCTCCCCACCATTTGTCTTGACAAACTTTTCCAAACTGACCTTTGCTGATGTTTTCTTGTAACATGATGGTCCTGGCAATTCTTCTCTGAACAAACAGCAGTAAACCCTTCGTCTCAGGTAGCAGCATCACCACAATTACCAACACGATGAGAAGGAACCAGCAACTCAAAGCAGTAGCCACTGACTCCATGGTCCCACCACCACAGTTTGTGGCTGGGCCTTGGCCGCAGCTTCTCCTTAGCAAGCCTCCCAGGCTGGCCTCAAACTCGGGATTCTCCTGCCTCTGCCTCTTTCAGTAAATCCAACCAGTGTGCCACCATAACCCACAAAGTGTAGCTCGGGTCTGAGCTGGGGCCCACAAGGCCACAGGCAAGTGGCTTTTTCGAGAATTTGTACCACAAACGTTTGGACGCCAGATGTAGCATGAATTCTTAGAAGGTCTTATTAATTAAAAAAAAAAAAAAAACCTGAAGCCAGATATTGGGGTGAATGCTGGAAGATCAGAGAGACAGAACAGGCTACAGTTAACCTCGCCTAGCCAACTTCTCAGCTGATCTGATCAGACTGGAAGCCTCTGTGTCCTCATCTGAATGGCTCTCAGCTGAACTAGTGCTCAAAAGCCTAAAAGCTTAACCAGCCTAGTTCCTGGTCCTCATGCCTTATATACCTTTTTTGCTTTCTGCCATCACTTCCTGGGATTAAAGGCTCACTTTCTGGGATTAAAGGCATGAGTCACCATGCTTGGCTGTATCCTTGAACACACAGAGAACCAGGTAGATCTCTGCCTCTGGAATGCTAGGATTATAGGTGTGTGGTACCACTGCCTAACCTCTATGTTTATTATTGTGGCTGTTCTGTTCTCTGACCCCAGATAAGTTTATTAGCGTACACAATATATCAGGGAACACAATACCACCACAATTTCTTAATGTTTTGTGTTTGTAACATCAACCCATGTGTCTTAGTTAGTGTTTCTATTGCTGTGAAAAAGACACCATGACCATGGCAACTCTCATAAAGGAAAACATTTAATTGGAGTTAGCTTAGAGTTTCAGAGGTTTAGTCCATTATTGTCATGGTGAGAAGCATG